CCCCCCCCCCCCCCCCACGTCCCTCCCTCGGTTTTACCGGTCCAGCATCTTGGTGGTGGCTCTCTCCAGCTTCTCCAGGATCTGCAGAAGCTGAGCGTCGTCGTCGCAGAGGCCCCCCCAGCCCAGGACACGGGCCAGGTCGTTCCCTGTGCCCAGAGGCAGCACACCGAGCTGGCACTGCAGGGACGGTGACCAGGAACAATGACAGAGGGTGAAGTTAAAGAGCAGAGAATCATCTGAGGCTGATTCTGGACACGCTGGTTTGACACGAGCTGAAATGATTCAAACTGATTTCACGTGGTGTTTACTGAAATTAGAAGCCAATTTAAAAACATGTCATCCGACACAGCATTCATTAATCCTGATTAAACAAGAAGTGAGGTTTCAACCTGGTCCTTATTTCCAGCATCTGGTTTGTAGATCTACTCACCCATGAAGGTTTGGAGGAACTCGGAGTCCTTCGGACGCTTGTAGATCCACAACACAGCCTCTAAATAACCAAGATGTGCCGTGAAACTCTTTATAATAAGGACCAGGTTGAAACCTCGCTTCTCCTTTAATTCAGAGACGTTAATGAATCAGTTCAAGCTGAACTCTGGATACAGTCCAGATGTGTGCAAACCATATTTAGATTTTCGATTTCATGATGACAGAAAACAGAAAATTGATTTATTCTTCTTTCTCAACAGTTTAATTATCTTGTAACACAACAGGTAACTTGCTGCTTTTTCCTGCCCTCATGCATCAGCATTATATCATCCTCCTCCTCCTCCTCCTCCTCCTCCTCGCTCTCACCTGTTTATGGAGGTTGAGTTTATCGAGCTCTGAGAGCACCCAGCCCACGCTGCCGTCTCCTCCGCACACCAGGATACGAAACGTCACAAACTTCTGGAAAAGGCGAAGGCTGAGAAAGAACGAGGAGAGAACGAGGCGGATTAAAGCTGGTGAATTATTTCTCTACGAAGCGCGACAGCGTTTCAGGTAAAACGCTCACGTACCCGAGCTCCGGTCCTCCGTTCATCAGGTCGAAGACTTGAGCCGGGTTGAGGAGCTGCTTGAACTTGCGGAGGAACTTGACGCCCTGGTTGTCTCCACTTTTGGAGTTGACCAGGACGAGGAGGGGGCTGGAGCACGACGCAGAGGTGGCCTTCCAGAAGCCTGAGGGAGAAGCATGGTTGTGATTTGAGGTTTTGAAAAAGAGAAAGAGACTGGAGAGTAGTTTGTAGACGTTAAGAGTCAAGTTCAGATGAAGAGAAAACACTTTAAATGTTGGTTTGAATAGTTTCACGACTTCTCCTGTGCAGCTCATTTCCTGTTGCTTCACCACATGAACAGACTCACACCTTAAATAAAACTGCTTCACTGGTTTTGAGAAACTTATTGCAAAACTGTGTCAGAGCAATAAAGAAAAAACAAAGTCTATCAAACAGAAAACTAAACGCTGGATATTACCCATGATCCTCTGCTTCCTGCACCAGAAGAGCTGCTGCTGTAACAAAACTCTGTTCAGAGTTCTTCATGTTTTAAAGTTTGCTGCTGAACATTGGAGATGAACTCTGGTTGTTAATAACTGATCTCAGGTCAGCTTCACTCTTCTGCTGTCTGGAGCTGATTGTGACAGACTGTCAGATTAAACCTTCGGTCGTTAAAAACACAACTTAACTGAAATGCGACTCTGACATTACGACATGGAGAAGATAGAAACAAGGGAAAGGTCCGTCACAGTGTGAAGAACCGTGGAGCTGAAGGAATTACACAACGGGAGGTTTGTCGGCTGAACTTTGAACCTGTCGTACATGTGACTCTGTTTGTGTAGACGTGTCTCACCATCTGAGTCGATGCTGTTAAGTGCAGTGGGAGGGATGATTGACACTCGACATTGACCCAAGGGACAAACCTTCCCCATTTGTTCTTTACAGCTGCTGTGGACCTGCGCACACACACACACACACACACACACAC